CGCGGCCGCGCGTTAGCCCGTGGTTAGCTGAAAGACGTTTTGTAATCACGTTCCGCGGACCGTTTATGATTCACTTTAACGGTTAACATGGCTATACGGTCGTTTAATAACCGATGACACGCGACGTGGATGCTCGTCTATTAATTTAATTATGATCACGATGTCGAAACTCTCGATGATAATGTTTAATCGATAATAATAATTGAGGAAGAATTACGTAGAAAATTATGATCGAAATGGTTGATGAGATAGATGATTTTCTTTGTAGAATTTGTTTTAATTTTTGGATTTTTGAAAAATGAAAAAGAATTATAGTTTTGAGATATTATATGTATAAGAAGAGAAATAATTACAGAAATCATATTGTTATTGATTAATCCAGTTTTTATTGAGAAAAAATTAAGATACGAATATATTAAGATTAAATACCATTAAAGAATGAAGGAATGAAAAATTCTACAATGAAACGAATAAATTATTAGTTATATGGAAGATAACGATAATAAATAGCAATTATGCTATACTTAATTTTTTTTTAAGTAACTTTTTAATCAAATTTGAACCAAAATTCATTATTTTACATTTTAAAATAATACAATTTAAATCGACTATCGTTAAATTATTCTCAGATAGTGTTCCCATCGTGATCAGATAGATTAGGTGATATCTGACCGGTTTAACGATAAAATGGAAGGCTATTCGATCCATCGATCAGATCGAGATTAGTTTTAAATCGTTACACATCATCAATTCCCAGTCAGAATTGATTGGAAGCGCAGGCTTGATGATTTCGATAAGTTGTACATGATGTTGATTCCGTGTTTACGCCGAGTTTCGGTTTCTGGTTAATATTGGCGTAGGTGAACGTTAATTTTGGATCAGATTTTCAGTCGGATTTACCAGGATGATCCAATGATTTAATGATTAAAACGGCAGCTCGGCCGATCTCCGCATGATCCTAGATTAAGTCTGGATTATGTTAGGTAATCGTGAATTCTGGATTAGCTATCGGGCAACGTTTGACAGCATAATTTGATACTGTGATGCTCCTCTACTGGCCTGATTCAATGCCGAAAGCTAATTCAACTGACAGCGGATACGCTAACTGTGAATTTCCGTTTATGTTAAGTAACTTAAGTGGCGTTCTATTATGTAATTCTTTTATATACCCGCTTTGAAATTGCGTTTGAATAGAATCGAATGGAAATTGTATATGAATTGAGGTGATAATAGTTCATGGATTAGATTTTATCAAGGATCAAACAATAGAGAGATGTAATAAAGCCTATTCGAAATGTGTTTATATTCGAGAGAAACATAGTTTATTGTATTTTTTTCGAATTGAAAATATAAAATCTATGAGGGGAGAAAACGAAAATATCGATCAAATTATTAAAAAAGAAAAGACAGAAATTCAATAATTTAAATTAATTAGGAAATGATAGAATTTCGATAGCAAATATCTTAGACTGATAGAAGTTTGGAATTAATTAGGAATTGTTCTTCGACGCGAAGATATCTCTGTCAGACATCGAAACAGGATCGATAGGATGAGCTGGAGATATCGATGACGAGCAATACTCAAACCAGAAGGCTAACTAGTTCGAACGCAATTCTGATCGGATTTCAATTTGCGAGCATTTCAGATGGGATGGCCGGTAACTTCAACTCCAACATTTAGTTCGGTGGTTGAGTACCACTGAATCAGATTTGACGCTTCTGATAGAATCTTTCCCTATCGAGAGTTCAGAATATCAAATGAGCGTAGAGATCCTTATTAGTTCTAAAGAAAGAAAAGCATAACGAGATGATCTATTAAAATTTATTTTCAACATCGTGAAAACTAATCTTCCGTGATTAAATTAACATAAATATTGGATGAAAAATTTAGGATGGTTTAAGGATGATCCACGACTTCAATCGCTTTACAATATTTACAAAATTTCTACGAAAATGATCTTGATGAATCTTAATCCGCAATCTTATCAAAAAAGCAAAACAGGATATTGCTAAATATATGGGAAACTTTTAGAGAATTATTCTCGAAACAAAACAAAAAAAAAAACATATGAAATAATTTTTCTTAAATTCTTGGATCCCAAGAAGATACTTTAATATTTTTAAACTTTTTTACTTAAGGCAAGCACAACTTTACAACACTATCTCTATATTCTAGAGGATCGAAAAACACTTCTACGAACATCCCAACAAAAGAAAAAAATATCCTGTGTAACAAAATCAAAAAAAAAAAAAGAACAAAAGAAAGGAAGTAAAAATATTCCCCTACAGAAAAGGGAAGGTTGACAATTGATAAAAGGATCGTGATCTGGACACACAACGTTCCCAACAGACTTTATTAAAGTCCGCGGATGGCGCACGCTGACTCGAAATCGAACACTAGCTCTGGCCCCTACCTGGGTATGCTTGATGCTCCTTTATCTTACCCTCCTGAACATAGTGCGGGCTGTGAAGAACCGTTGCGTCGCTCATCGTGTGCTCCGTCATGATCCTCAGCGAGAGAACCAGGCCCGAGTAACTCCTCTCCGCGGGCAGATCGGTGATCTCGAGCATGCTAGGCGTCATGCTAGTCGCGGAGGCCAAAAGACGCCTGGTGTCCGCGTCGAAGACCTGGAGGACATAGGTGGCAGTCCGAGGGTCGATGAACTCGCTCTCGGCGCAGCTCACCCTCACCGTTGTCCGACTCTCTTCCCTGATCGTACAATTCTCCGGGGGAGGGGGTTGCGCCAGCTTCTCACCTGTTACCATACCGGGCACACCATCCTCAGCTTCCTTCTTCTACTCAGCTATTCCACGCTCGAGTTTGGTTTTTACAGGAAATATATTTTGATTTTATGAAGAGGGTTAGGATTTCTCTTGTACGAGGGTGGTGGAAGGGTTCTGTTGCCTAGTAAAATTTTTCCTTAGGGAAGGGGAGGGAGGGAGAGTTCAAAGAGAGAGATTGGGTTAAGTTTTTTTCGAGGGTGCTATGCGTCGCGAAAGGATTTTTCTCTTTCTTTCTTTCTTTCTTTCTTTCGAGTTTCCTTCGAAGGGCGACGACGACTTCGAAGTCCTGCGTTTCTACCGTTTCCGTATTCCGTTTGCGTCGCGTTGATGATGAGTTCAACGCCCTGCAAACGTTTTTTCTTTTTTTTTTGTCGAGTGATTTCTCTCTTTTTAACATTTCAGGGGAGGAAAGGATTTTGCGAAAGGGATTTTTTGTAGCTTCGACGATTGTTTGAGAGTTAGTTTGCAATTTGGAATGTACAATTTTTGTGGGCAATTGTAGTATAATTTTCGAGTTGAAGAGCGTATCTCAATAATCAAATTTGTCGATGTTTAATCAGTCTCTATATTCTGTTTTACAAACCAAATGGTAAAAAAAGTGTCGTCATTTCAACGATGTTTGCCAAACTTCCATCAAACAAACGTTCGTTACATCAAAAAACAAACCTTTCTCTCTAAAAAAAAAAAGAAATCAAACGCGTTCGATGGAAAATAAAAATAAAGAACAATCCTTGAAAAGATAAAAACTTGGAATAGATATTACAAATAAATCGCGAAAGAGTATACCAGATTTTTAAGCAACAACCATCCCTCGAATGTTCTCTCTCTCTCTCTCTCTCTCTCTCCCTTTTTTTCTTTTTCGAGCAGATTCGATCGAGTTTCCACCCGAAAAATCCGTGCCAACCCTCCGGCCCCACGTTTCTCATTCGCCGCGCGAACGTGTTTTAATATAAACGTCAAAGAGTAATCGATATCCGCCATAAGGGAGGACAGGCCAGGTATCGATATCGAGTCGTTCGAGCCAGTCGTTTGCACGTCGCGTAACAAGCGTCTGACTTTCGTTTCGAGGCTAAAGTAAGTTCGTGTCGGAATTACGGTCAGCTGGCCATTTTATCGAGCGAAATATTCGACAGAAGAAGCGTTTACACGCGTGAACGAGAGCACGGAACTGCTAGACAGAATTATTCTTTTTTTCTCTCTCTCTCTCCCCTGTCCTCTTTCTGCTTCCTTTCTCCTAGAGGTACGAGTTAGGCAGCAGGGGTGCGAGTCAATAAACTGGCGGACGAGAATCGAGCGACGCTGGTCAACGATATCGACTACTTCGATAAACCGGAGATTCGTTTAACACGTTCCTACTACTTGTAATTATTGGAATTGAAATTTTGATTAGATAGGCGGAAATATCGTTCGATATATTGGTTATTTCAATGAGATTATTAAAGGATGGAACGAATTTTCCAATGTCTTTTGAGATGAGTAATATTTTTTTTTCGTGTAATAAATTGAGATTAAAATTCTTCTTTTATAAATGAAATGAATAATATGAAAATTATAAATAGAATGAAGTAGATATATTTATTTTTAGGCGTGATTCAAAAAAAGAATTTTAAGCAAGAATTTTATTTTTTTATTTAGTATTTTTACATTTAGTATGAAAGTTTTTGAAGGATTTTTTTAATAGTAAAAGAAATAAATATTGCATATTGTTACAAAATTTTAAAATTTTACTGCAATTAGATAAACATATTTTTATATGTGTAACATCTGTAAATCAGCATTTTTTTTAAGGATATAAGTATCATCTTTTATTTAGTGTGATAATAAAAATGTTGTTAAAAAAGATGTAGATAAAAAATTCTAATTTATAAAGTTTATGCAAATTTAAATTGTCCAATAATTTTCCAAGAATTTTGTTCGTATTTTAAAAATTTCGTGGAAACTGCTTTCTGGATTGTAATCTCATTTTTAATTACGAATGATTTATCGTACACATGATGGATATATGAAAAAGGAAACGAAGAGAATAATTAAATACCTACATTGATTAAAATGAATTCATAACATATCACAATTGAGATCTTTCAATTACCGTTAATGAAATTCATACGCGAATAAATTAACTGTCTCACCGTAATAATGGTTTTAACATGAAAAAGTTTTCAATTGAAAAAATAATTCGCGAGAATATTTAAGTTAAAATATGTCAGATACGTCGAGATACGATTAACGTCCGTTAAATCCCTGTATCGAGGTGTCTTCCGTCAATATGATTAGCAAACATTTGCATTTTAAAACGAGAATGTCGATAGAATGTAACATTATCGGTTTGTTAAAAAAAACTCGGCAACTAAATACAGGAATAAAGGGAAAAAAAGGAAAGTTTGTTTTATCGAATTGCATAAAGAGTAGGAAGGGATACCATTGACTCGTACCACTTGACACTCTGTCGGTACATTTATTGACACATACCATTGTGAAAAATCTAACCAATTCGTTCGAGAATAAATAATATTATATTCAGTTTATAACTTTTTCTTTTTAATAATCGAAATATTTGTAGATAAAATATTTTGAAAAAATAGTCGCGAAATTCGTATTTTCTATCAAAAAAATGGAGCATAGATTATTCGAAAATCTTATTATATCGAGAATTTTTGAACTAAATTAAACAAAATACGAAATTTTTTATATTAATAGACATTACAGAGTTAAATTTTCTCGAAAGGAATATTAAGTAAAATCGATTATTTACTAAAAATTATCATTTATAACGAATAATAATTTTAGAAATTGAAATTATTTTTTTTTAGATTCTTTTAAAAAATTCAATATACAAAAAGATAGTTTATATGAGCCATTTGAAACTATTTATCTCACCGAAATGAAAAATCAACATAATTTCCCCGCTAATCCAATACAAACGAATGCAACGAAACAGAATCTATCTCTATTAAAATGGGGCAGAATCCTATAACAAGAATTTCTTTTAATCAACCGCAATTTCGAAAAAAAAAAAATTTCACCTCACAATCGTTGGACGTTCATAAAAGATAGGAGTACAATTAGAACGCGAGCCAACAGTCAGGAACGATACACCAATTTCCAGTTAGCCAACGGACAGAATAGGCCGAGTCCACGACGAGAGAGGAGAACGGCCATCGCCCATCCCCGCAACCCCAATTAGCCACGCATTATTAACGCGTACTGTACACAAGCCACGTTTACGGCCAGCCTAGCCCCGCGTTCCACGGTTAATTGTTAGCAATTAGCAGGAAGAATGAGCTAGCAATCTGACAGAGTCGTAATCCGGGACAAAATTATTTTCCTGGCCTACAAGAGAAATTCCTTTTCCGGTACACGCCTCCTCTTCTGACCCCATGGAGAAGCAAAGTAGCAAGAGTAGTAATTTGTCAGACTAGTGTCCCCTCTCCCCCCTCTCAACCCTTCTATTCTGATTCTCGTTAATTTGTCTTGGTAATTCGTCTGCTCCGTTCGCCATTGTTGATGTCGCTTTAAGTATATACGATGTCTGGCTAAGCGCGGAAATAGTTTATTCAATTTTCTTTCTCGGTGGAAAATTGTTTTTTAATTCGATCATTCTTTTTCAATTTGTTATTTTGATGGATTTGTTCGATTCAGGACAAATGTGTTATATTTGGTGAATTAAATATTTTGAGATTAAATTTTGTTGTCGATTAAAGTATTATTTTTTGTCGCTATCTTCAATGAAAAATATTTTTTAAAACACTTGTTCTTTTAAGCAATTTGCATTCGATAGACAAAAACAAATGACAAGTCAGTTAGAATTAGAATTTTCTGATAAAATTGAAATTGTTTATTCTATTATTAACGACTGCGGGATATATCAATATAAGGAAATTAGATATTTCAGATCTGTCAGATATTTGAGTGAAACAAATATTCTTGTCAATCATAGAATTATAATAGTCATTATATAATGGAGTATTCGATTCCCACCCATATCACTGTACTTTCAGAGAATCGAACTCGATTCCGAATGTCATAAAGTTAATTATAATAATCGAGTCATTAATTATATTCATCACCATCAATTAATTATCCCAATAAATCAATTATGCGTATAATTTCTATTATCGATGCTAGTAAATAATATCCAATAACAAAAATAAGAAAAATAAGAAAAAGAAAAAAAAATTAAATCGAGAAAAGATTTATAACTTTCATCGTTGTTACTATCGCGTTAGATACATTTCTCGATTCTATACGACTATACTTGAAGAGACGTGGATCACGGAGCGCAGAGGACGATAATCGAGTTCGACAGGGACCGGAAGTCCGTAGATTTAGCTCGACTGGTGGTGATCGAAACTATCGGTGTCAAGCGCTTAATCGCGCGTCTACGATACAGAGTGGTCGAGTAAACGCTGCAGCATGGCTGTGTCGCGACGGGAACTGTCATTTTTTCCCTTGTAAAACGACAGTTCAATCACGGTAATGGAACTATCTTCATCGCGGGCACTTAGGGAAAAGTATGGTTTACAACGCGATACAGCACCATTTTCCACAGTGATATATTGTGAGAACCTTATATCCGTAAGGGATGAGTTCCAAACCCATCCCTTGGATACTTGAAACCGTGGGTATATAGTAGATACTTGATATTATGAAGAATGAAAGCTTAAAATAATATATGATAAAATATGACAATTGCAATGGGGAAAATATAATGGGGACTTTTTTTTCGTAAATAATTATACTATCGCATTTGACATAAAATTTAAATGATAGTTTAACGTTTTTTTAAGATATAGCTTTCAATCTTTTTTTACTTGTTAAAATATGATAATGATGTAGAGTTTATTTAATGAGATGAAACGAGACGTGGGTGTTAGAATAGTGTAACAGTTGTGAGGATATCTATTTCATGAGCTGAAACGAGATAAATGATGTAGGTGTAATGACATAGTGCAATATGTGAATATAAGCTTTCTGTTTTACATTGAACGATGAGCTGAAATAAGACGAACGATTAAGTTACTGTTTATATTTTTTTAGCTTAAATATTATTTCATTTTTCATTTATATCTATTTGTTCAGTGATAGATATCAATCAAAAAGAAACATTAATGAATAGAAAAATAAGATCTGTCTTCGAGATTGATCGAGAAATTAATAACTTTAAGAAGTGTATAGTGTATATCTATATTTTTATCTATTAAAAATTTTAAATCAAACCTTATAATAGCCTTCAAAAACGAATAACGATATATGCAAAAGGAAAAATTCAGAAGACCAATAATCTTCTAATTTCACAAACATATAAACACGATACTTAAGTTTCGATATATTCGAATTTTGACTAGATCAAGACTTCTTTTCTCCCACTTCAAACTTAACAATCGCATGAAAAGATCTACGCGAGATCTCTTTGTCGATTAATCCTCAAATTCCCAACGTGATCGTTCCCCTGATTCAAAAAGGAACCATCCCAGGATATCCCAGATATATAAAGTCGGAAAACTCATCGACACGTGTGTTGCAGCGTTCGCTCGTTTCTTGCCCGTTAGATCGTAAGTAAACGGATTTTTAAACCGAGATCTCTCGAAGATCTGAGTGAAGTGGTGTACCTATAGGTTGAGAACAGGATTGATGAGATTGTGGTGTGATCAATGTTGAGAACAGGAAGAATGAGATTGAATACCACGCGAGGTGTATGGTGTGACACAGAAGAAAGAGTCAGAAAGAGGGTGAACGAGTACAGAATGGGAAGAGAATAAGAAGAAATACAGACAATCGCGTGAGCTCTACGATGCAAGGCCCGTGCAGCGTAGCAGACAGTGCTCGTAATAGTGTGCCAACGATCAATCTGAACGATTCGAGATGTGAGATAAGAAGTAGGCTGCTCGTTTATTCTTCGATATTCGTTATTGGATTGAAATTCGTGGTCTGAAAACTCACCTGTTCGCCTTTCGGGCAGATTCAGGGTGGTTGCACGGAAATGGACGCTCTCGCTTCGACCTTTGCTGTTGCTCGCGTATATGTGGACGTCGTAGGTGGTCCCCGGCTCGAGATTTCCGACCGAGAACGATGGCACTTTGCTCGTTTGATTATAAACCGTGGTGCTCGGTTTCGAGGATGTGCTGCTTGTTCCCGACTCACGGTCCACCTGTATCGTGAACTTCTGCGGCAGACCACCGTCGAACCCCTCGATGCACTCCACGTACAGCGAGTCTATTGTCTGGTTCAAAAGAGAGCAATTGCGCGGTGTGTCCGGGTGACCTGCGAAGTCGAATAATTAGTATGGTCGATTCGAAAGTTTTGACAATTTACGTTGACCGGAAACGTATGTTTTAGGACGAGTGGAGATCATTTTGTGGAGTTTTGAGCTAGATGAAAGAGCTTTTAGAGAGAATTGTTATGAATGGTGGAAGATATTTAATGAAATTGGGTAGCAGAATAATAACGATGAGTATAATATAAGTAAGGGATGAAAATATGTCTATCCTTTTAGTAAATCAACTTTAATTGGTATTGAATGATCGATAATATTTTTGATATTGTGTACAGTGAATTCGAGATGTTCTAATAATCATCACTGGAACTTGGTATTATATATTATTCTACTATCTTCTATTCAGTGAATTTGACAAATAGAACTCTAATATTTTGCTTGATATATAATTTTGATTGAACAATCAACATTACTGTGCAAATTGAATCACAATATCGAAAAGTTATATCGATCACTCGAGTTGTAAAACAGTTTAGAGTTCACAAACATAATTTTATCTAAATCACATCCACGATTTAAATTATTTATCACGTTTTCTCCCTGATACTTGTTTACGCCAACTTTCCATTTCTCGGCTCGAAAAGAAACGTAATAAAGCTATCTCTATTCTTCAATAGCGTTGCTTCGAGTAACCCTGGAAATGTAGCTCCCCATAGCTGACCCGTGATTGCGTCGGGCGAAGAGATGAAGCGACTCGAAGTTGGCAAACTATCACGACAAACGTCTGTCCTTTCCAGACGAGAACGGAATACTGAAAGGATGGGGACACTCTACCCTTCGAACGTCTACCCGTTCACGTACGAACCGATGTGGTGGAACTTGTTGTGTCGCAAACGATAGTGTTTCTACGCTCTCTTTAATCAACAGATACAAGTTTAGATTTTCGTTTCGGAACAGTAGCGAATTCCCAAAAGTGAACGATTCCATTTTAGATGCAGTGCCCTGTTTAATAGCGCTTTTTATTGCTTCGTTCGCGCGGTTTAGTACCTTCCACTGGTACTAAAGTGCGTTCATCACGTAGTGACGCGTTTCCACGACGCTCGTATTTCTGGATACTCGTCCTCCATACGTCCACATACTATTCGTTGGAGTTTTCGTAGGTATTTTCAACATGAAATGTCGTTCGAAGAATTGCCGAGAATTCGTGTTATTTTTATGAGAAATATTCAGTAAAGAAATCTAGTAGTTCAGAATAATTAATTCCTCTTGGATATTATTTTGTTTGAAAACGAACTAAATCCTCGTGAAAATTATTTCGTTTTTGATAAATACATACGCTGCAATTTCGTTTTATTTTTATTCAACGTTTGAAATTTTTCAATAAAATCAATGTGCATATACGAGTTAACATAAAATATTTAAAAAGTACTTTTTATTTTTTCTCTAATTACAAATATTACTTTTTAATATTCGTTTCAATATTTTTATAAGATGGACAAGTACGTATTTAAATGTTCCTTTCAATAGAGAGATCGTTGAATAAAAATAAAACATGATATGAAAGCATCGATTAAAAAAAACTATATTCGATCTAGTTTCAAAGATTTACCAATAAAAACAAACAATCCTCGAAATTGAATTTATCTAAACGATACGATTTCAAACGAGAATATTTATTTCTATAATTCGTTCGAACATGGAGAATACTAACATGAGTTTTTTCAGTCGATAAGAGATCGCAAAAAGAAAACGCGGATCACCGTAAAGAAAACGGACATTCGGCTACGGAGGCGTCCGTCGTTGTTTCTAATCTGCATAATGAGGAAACTTTTTAAATCTAATTTACGTCTATCAACCATCCCATGGGAGACACTTTTCCCCGGGATTACTCGAGAACGTTGCAACCCTCCACTCGCCACTTCTCACCCTTCCTCCCTCCCCTCCACCCTTGTAAATCTTGGCGATTTATATTTACACTAAAATCTTAATTTCCTCGGTTTCCACGGATTGTTACATAATTAAAAACGAAGTTTTTCCATAAAGCTATAGTATCTCGTGACTTCGAGCCAGTTTCCAAGTATCTTCTCTAAGGGATGGACAATTTTCAACGGTCTCTCGCGCATTGCACTTAAGATAATGCGAATTTTCCTTGGATTAAAGGATTATCCGAAGAAGCACAAGGATACTTTGAAATACCCGGAATATCCTCGTTAAAAATGAATATTTTAATGTCGAGCGAAAAATCATTCCTGTTGCTCGACTCTTTCCAATTATTTTAACACGAATAATTCTTTGAAATCGAGATTGATTCTTTTTCTTCGATGCCAGACAGCATTCTCTTGGAGAAAAGGAAAGTGGAATAGTGTATCGAGGATTTTCTATTGAATGATTTCTTCGTTCCAAGTGATTGTTGCATTTGATATTAAATTTTACGTATTTTATTTAATTAATTGTGAATATTATTAAAGAGAAGCACAGAAAAATAATTCATTTTTACTTTGTCACAGATGAATAATTAAATTTACAAATTTTTTTTTTGAAAAGAAAGAACGAAGTTATATATTCGTATGTATGATAGAACAATAGAAATTTAAATGTGTCGATATAAAAGACACTTACCAGCTGGGACAATGTGATAGACACAAGGTTCAAGTTGCGTTCCCTGCTCATTTGTACCCCAACAAAGCAGAGTACCATAGTCTAACTCGGTCATTGGTGTGTAAGAGGCCGTGGAACGTGTTCGCTCGCTGATGACTTGTGCTTGAGGTATGTCGATCGTCTCCATTGTGTTATTGAACTTCCACATAAACGTTACTTCCGGTGGATTTGCCTCGAGCTCGCACGGTATCCTCGCGGTTTCCTGTCGCGCCACACCGAATACCTTCACCTGACCGTGATGACAAACAGGGGCGACTGGAAAAAAAATCATGCGACTAGATGAAGCCTAAGCAAATGAAGCATGAATCCTTATCACCTATTATAAAATTTTAATTTTGCAACTCGAGGATGAAATATATTTTTTTCCGGAAATTATTATGTAGATAAATAATTCAAGGATATATTCAAGTTTTGATTCTTCTTGTTAATTTTGTTGAGAGAAAAATGTGTGAAAAATATAGTACTGATGAATTATTAATGTTTCTGTTTCAGAATCAATGATTCGCATCGATGACTTTCCTCGTCTCGAAATTTCCTTAGGACTTAGCATTAGGCTTTTTGAACGATGGAAGGCAAGTTGATCCATGCTTTTGATCCACGAGTTTGAAGATGAGTGATCGAGTATTATCTTCTTCTTCTCTATCTCTCTCTTCTCTGATATTCGACAAAGGTAACACGATTATCGAACATTATCCATGATTAAGCATTAACGATACAATCGATGTTCGTCATTTCCAAATCCTTGTCAACCGCAAGATAGTAGCAACAGAAGTTTTAGATTCCATGGCAATACATAATATATACGTATATACATATATAAAATATCGTGATATATGATTGAAAAGCTATTTATTTTTTAGGTATACACAAAAACATCATTCAAGCAATCTTCGTTCATGAAATGAAACGTTAAGTTTTAATAATTAACTTTTTTTCCTTCATTTTAACTATGGCGAATATCGAACAGAATTTCCTAAGTGATCTAATCAATGAAAAGTCAGCCCCTTTGTCCACTCTATTCTTCTAATTCTATCCCTCTTTTAGCTTGATGTACGATGTCTGTACGTTCTTCTTCTTTTTTTTTTTTCTTTCTTTTCTTTTTCGTTTCTAAGTACAAAGTATTATTGAATTTCAGTCGAAAGAGACTTCCGTCTCGAAGTTGAGGTCACATGGGATCTTTTGTCAGATTATCCAGGGTATCTTCTCTCCGTGGACATCGTTGTAGCTGAATGTCAATTGTGGAAACTGTTCGAAATAACGATCGATCTTCGACGATTGGTTAGATGGAGGAGATAATCTCAAAAAATGATTTTTAGTTATTTTTTTCTTTTTAATGAATCATTATCGATTCTAGTTATATTTTAGTGATATAGTAAAATTTATACGCCATTAGAATACAGAGAGAGAGAGAGAAAGAGAGAAATAACTGATGGATCATCAAATTGATTTCATTTTTCATTTTTACAATCACTATCTATTTGATTTTGATATATTACGGAATCGAAGTGTCAAGGAAGTTAAATAGTTTCCATTCGTGTGTATCAGAACATTTTTTAAATCATTTTTTAACTCTTTCTTTTATAACTCTGTATATCTATCTTTCTCTTGTCTACCTTTCATACATATCGTCGTAATCATTATTCAGAAAAATTCTCCCAAGAAAATTTCAAAACTTCTTAACTACGAAGAGAATTATAAAGCAATCGCATGACAAAACTTGGTCCATCCTTTAGCAATAATTATTCTAAACGGGGACAGAATTATGCATTCGGGCAACATAAATCGCCACGATAGTTAGCGGAGACACTTGGCACGTACCAAGGCCATAGGCAATGCGTCATTAATGCTTAATGGACAGACATTAATTTGTTATTGTCAATGGAAGGATCGATAGGAATTCTAGTTGCCGTAAATTCGTAAATATGTGCATGACAATACATTAGGAATCAATTCCATCTTAGTTCTAGAAAAGTGGGAATAGTACGATAGAATAGAGGTATAATAAGTCTTTGAAACTCAATAACAAATAAAAATGTGAAAAGAAATCTGTCAAAATATATAGAACATGATTATTACGTGATTCTTATTATTTTTTTCTGTTTTTGATACGAATTTATTGTTTCAATGTCAGTAAAGATGGATAGGGTACTTGATTTATGGTTTTATGGGGATGTTAAGAAGATGATTTTAGTAAAATATTTGTTAGAAATGAAACTTGCAAAGAGAATTTAATTTTCAGTAGTGTTTTTAAATAGCTTAGTGTTTAAATTTTAGATAAAGATTCATGATTTCTTTTTTTATATTTTTAGTATAAGTTTGTCAAAAAATAGATTGATAGATTTGGATAGAATGAAATATTGTTTGTTGAAATTTTTGTCATTTTATCATCATTGTTTGTGTAAGCCTATAGCTTAAATATGAGGGAATGTTTATTAAAAGTAGGATTTGAAAATTGATATTCTATGTAACATTAGATATAGTATAGAATATGTGATAATGGAAAGAGAATATAGATTTAGTAAATAAACTAGGATATTAGATGATTCTGATATGCAATATTTATCGTAAAAGAGAATTTATCAGAAGAGAGAGAGTAATTGCAATGTTTGAAGACAGAATTCCAACAATGAATGTTCCAGTATTCGAGTAGTGTATCTGTATGAAGATGTGCAAAAGTGAGTGTTTTAAAAAGCGTGGTAACGGAAATAGAGTAGTAGAGTAAGGGAGATCAGAGAGAATTTTTTAAGAAAGTTGTTCCAAAGAACAATTTCGAGATGAGAATTCTTTTAAAGAATACTTTTAAAGAAGTTTCTTTGAATTTCTTCTACGTGTTATTTAATCAAATTGTTCATTAAATATAATATGGAAAAAGTTTTTCGTTGTTTAATAATTTCTTAATTTTCTTTTTTTCAAATGAATAATTCATAATAATTCAAGTTTTTTTTTATTAATAATTCTTTTAATATAACATAATACAATATTCGTGTAACACGAAATAATTTCAGAAATAATTTATTTCGGGTTTTTTATCGAACCGTGTCAAATATTAATAAGATTTTTAATTATATTTTCATAAGAATATATAAGTCCTTGTTCTCTTGAGTCTTTCTTTTAAGGAACAGGAGCGAGAATGTTAATAAGGCGAGAATATTTAATTGAGCTAATTCAGGGAGAAGAGTAAAATCCGTGCTTTTAATAGCAACATATGTAAGCCAAGATTTCTCTCCAAGTTTAAACTCCGAAACGGAAATACGTGATGATAAACGATATTTCCGGTAGAATAAACGCTTTGGCAAACTTATTAGTTGAGTGGATTTAATAACAGATTGTTAGTCATCCGACGAGACTGTAGATAATAGATTACTGTACTGTCGCAAACAGAATTATGTTCAGTCGTGTCCAATCTGCATAATCAACAAATTAAGTGGTCGTAAGTTTTTACAATACAAAAACACGCGATACCATTTGTAAATTTAACGTGCATAAAATGATATATGAGAAAATTATCTTTTAATACGTTCTCGGATTTATTATGCATTTCTTTTTTTTTTTAAATATAATTTGTCAAAATAATTGGTATTTTAAATAATTTTTCAATGAAGATATTTAAATAACAATGAAGTTCTTATATTTTATATTTCAATATATAAAGATAATTAAATCTTTATTTTATTCCAATTATAATT